TTCTGGAGCTTATTTATTCTTATTATCACAGCCAGAGTCGTAGATCAGAGTTTTCTTTTTAATAAATGCTTTTATTTACTATTTATTTTTGTTTGGGGCTTTTTGATCTGGATATTTTTAAGATAAGTAAGGATTTTTAAGGTTGCAGTTTAAATGTTGAACTATTGTATTGAAATTTTATTATCACTTCATAATTATGAATAAGGCATTGCCACATGAGTGTTTCAACAAACTTCCTGTCAAAACGAAATAGAAATTGTCCCTTGTATGTATGTACTGTATGCAGTAATTGTGTGATTGAAAAAATGAAGTAATGCGTTCTTATTTCAGGAAGCACAGGCGTATGCAGATGACAACAGCTTATTGTTCATGGAGACATCTGCCAAAACATCTATGAACGTAAATGAAATATTCATGGCAATTGGTGAGTTTAAGAACAAAATTACAGTTAAGGGGAATTGTTTTCCTGAAATTCGTGCTATTAGGACAGTTCTTGTCCATGCTCTTCCACTTTTTCACTTAAATTCTTTCTCCTTCTGTGGCATTGAAAGTTGTGTTTTGTTTTGTTTTTTAAAGGTCCTTTCAGATCTTTTTAAATATTCAAAAGTCAGAAAAATTGGAAGCACAGTTGCCCAGGATTTAGGCATTTTCTTGAACTAACTTAGAACAACTAAGTAAGATTGCTTTCAAATTCTATTAAGGAATTTCAGTGCACATGTTTCAGTTCCGTGATTGTTTGTACGTGTTTCAGTTCCATGATTGTTTATACTGCTTCAAGTTTAAGATGTAATTGTTATTATATACGGAGGGACAAAAATAGCTTTCCCATGGTATAGGTAACCATAAAAAGTTTTACTTAGCTTTTCTAAGCATAAAATGTGTTTGGGATTTGCTTATCAGATTAGTATGAGAATGTAAGTTAAAGTGTATGAATGTGTCTTTTAATGGTACGTTGTTTGGAACAGACACTGTGCTGACTTTTATCAGTACAGAACCTAGAATGACGTACCTTTTATGAGGCAAAGGTAACAAACTGAAAACATTATTTCAGAATAGGAGAAGGGTAATGGACTTGCACAAAAAGTCAAGCATACTGATTTTAGTCTAAACCAAACATTTGCTAAACATGCTTCTATGTTAAAATTTTATTTGAATCCTGAATACTGAATCTGAAATCCAAAAGTTGCACCAAAGATGAATGTGTATTTGAATTCGATGCTCAAGTAGAAGGATAGTTCACGTGAAAAGTAAGTGTACTAACATCCTATTTTTAGCCCTAACATAGCTTAGGGATTTCTATTAGGGATTAATAGTGAGTAAAATAAATTGATTATGAAAATAGTTTTATATTAAATTGTTAGATAGAACCATTGTATTTTAAGCAGAAAATATAAGTTTGCCTAGGTTAAGTGTACGTTTAGCAGTCTTGCAAGTTCCTCTAGAATATAAAATTAACTAAAAGTGTTACAAAACAAATGATTCATATTCAATGCATATAAAGTATTTTTAAAAGAAGTAGGCATGACATACGATATATACTGTATCAGCCCCATAAATCTTCAAAATTATGTGAATTACGTTGATGCATACAAAGATACATTTCATTATTAATGATAAACGTGGAAGCAACGGAAAAAGAAAGCATACGTTTTTAGGTTGGGTCACTGCCCTCTTTAGTAGTAATCTTAATCACAGTAGTGGCTCTGCTACTGGCAAATGCTAGCATGTAAAATAACCATATTAATCTGTTTTACATTTTGCACTACAATAACTTCTCTATCCCACTTATTGTTGTGAAGAACTGCAGCAGTGGTGTCAAAATTAAATGTTTCTAAATAGCTCGTACCTTAATCTTTCCTAATGAGTAAAACAAAGTAATTTGTGGTCTGATTCAAGCCTCCATCAGATGCACATTAAATTATCCTTATAGCAACATTTTATAACATGTAATTGCTTAATATTAACCATAAATGCTTTAAAAAATATACAAAACTGAGTAGAGAGCATATATTTTTGTCACAAATGTTCAAGGCAGGCTTGCATTTAATGATACGGAAGTGCTCAATTACACTGCAGGTGCATTTTAAATTGAGAGGAGTTAAACATGAGAAACGCATCCCCAAAATGTGAAATTCAGAATGGCCTTTTGCACAGCATGGATGCAATTCTGAGGCCCATATATAAATATGATCTTCAAAAATGAGAGAAAATGAAAAATGAGAACGTGGGCAGAGGAGAGGGATGTAAGCTACAGTCACTGCAGACCGACTACTTCACAGCTTGTGTAAAATTTCCAGTTTAAAAAAAAAAGTTGCTGTTAATTTCTGATTTTAGAATCTAGAACAACAGTGCTGTGAAGGTATTATTCTGCTGATGCTATGTCCCTTTGTACTGCCTGAGCAGCTGTCTTAATATCATGTGTATTCTGGGTTTCTCCTAACTGAGTTCATCTTGTGTATTCTGCTGGTCTTATTGCTGTCCATTCTTATACTTCAATTTCATTCCTTATGGGAGAAGTCACTCTTTAATAAGATGACCACAGTAATTACTTCAGACTCTGACTATGCAGCCAAACCATAGAGCAGGGATAGTTGCTGGCTCCCAGGAACATGGGAGAGCCCTATGGAAGTCTTTCCTTTCCGTGTCCTATTATGTAGAGCTTATGTTTCTGTCCATCAAAAAAACTACTAAAAAGAGCTACTGCTCAGGAAAGGTAAAACTTGTCACCTTCCCCCCCACCCCCATGTCAGGACGGAGAAGGTACCCTGAAGCTACAAGGATGACAAAAAAAAAAAAAAAAAAAAAACCACTTGCAGTCAGTTAACTCATAAAGGCTAGAGAGGAAGTACAGCTTGGAAAAAGAGGACAGAGATCTGATGTTGAGGACCATTTTATATGTTCTGCCTAGACAATAGGACTTCTTAAAGTTTGACTCATCTCCGTCTGTTTTGCCCCTTTTCATTCTTTTTGTATTTTTAGCCTTAACAAACTCATTTCTACAGCCTGTTCTGCACTTCCTAAAAGAAAAAAAAAAAAAAAAAGGGTTGTTTATTAGCATGAACAGTAAGAGTATCTGCCCAGGTGTGCCAAGTTACTAATGTATTTCATTCTTGAAAATCATAGATAACATAGTTAATCATTAAGATGTTAAGTGTGTTAACTTTTATTACCAACACACAGTCTCAATTCAGATTTTATACTGTTATATTTACAGTCTTGTAGAGCAATAAAGTGCTGAAGCTTGTGTACTCAAATGATTTAATGATTTGCAATCTTGCTTTTAACTATTTAATGCTTGTTTCTTGTTGGTTTTGTAGCAAAAAAACTGCCCAAGAATGAACCACAGAACGCAGGCACCAACTCTGCCAGAGGAAGAGGAGTAGATCTCACTGAACCCACTCAACCACCCAAGAGTCAATGTTGTAGTAACTAAAACATCAATTGCTTTAAACTGTTCTGAATATTCTTCTGCTTCCTAACTGTTAATAACAATGGAGTTGGAGTGCTTAACCTGGCCCAGCACAGCTTCCAAACAGCGAAGAGACTTATGATAATAGTCGAGTTTATGATGCAGAATTTTCTTTTGACCTTAATTTTAATGTGCATGTATCACTGGCTGTAATGTTTCAACAGTAAAGGAGTGATGGAAGCGGAATAAACTTGCTTCAGTTGAAAGGTTTTAAAAATCACTTACCATTAGGGATATAGAAGAACTGCTTTCCGTGGACCTAATTGGCCAGTTCCTGTAGCTCCAATACTGGTTACTATTGTAAAGAGTAGAATTGGGACTCTTCGTACTTCTCAAATGTGCTTTAAAGCCTTTTTAGAAACAGGGTCTAAAAATTAAATTTATTTACAGTATTGATGCAACCAGTTGTTTCTGCAGATATCTACTGTTTAGTTATACATTCCATAGTTTAATAATTTAATTACAAAAATAATATTTGCATTAACAATTTTAAGAACCTCATGCTTGCAGGAAAGTGGAATTTTAGTTGGTACACTGTATGTAAATTTTATCAACCCAGTTAGTTGTCTAAAGAAAATGGTGACTAAATCAAGTTTAACTTCATCTTTGTTGCGTTCAGAAGGTGCAAACCAGTAAATTCAACTTCACAGCATAGGATTTTTTTCATCTACAAACTGTAAGAGACTTTCAAGTAAAACCACAGCAAACTCGATGTCTATGAGTTCTTTCTTATTTTTGATCATTGCTGGCCATTACAGTTTCTTATGTTTTCCCACCAAGGAAAAAATAGTCAGTGCACTAATAATTATGTACATTCAACTTGATTTTAAATTTGGATATTAATGTACTGTAAATAGGGTACTCTGCATTGTAGTCTACATTTGTTTAATACTTTCTGTAATATTTAAGAGTTGCTTAAAGGTATACAGAATGTACAGTTACTTAAAGCTAACTTCTTTCCTCTCTAATCAAAGGGGGTTCTATGTTCTTCCTTTATGGCTAGAACAGTAATAAATGATGCTCCTGTATCTGTAACATAAGTACTGCTGTCTGTCAGTAATGGACTTTGCAACTTTGTTTTCCAAAGTACATTTTATTTTGATCTGTCCAGTATATTGCACTAATTCTTTTAGTTATTTTCATTATATGAAATCTACCAAGTGTCAGAAGAGATGAATTAGTCTATTTAAGTGTTGAGCTGATAGCAGAAACTTACTTGTGCAGATTTTAAATTTGCAGTAATCTGGATTTAGCAAGGAAAATGACAGTTCACCAGTGTTTAGTTTTATATTGAGGTGCTCAGGTTTGAATAAAGTGGTTAAAAAAAAAAATTGTGATTAGTGTTTCTTCTTACTCTGTTTCAAAAGCTTTTATTGCATTTGCACAGTTCCAAAGATGATGTCTAATTTCTTATAATGAATTGGCTCTGTGGATCATCATTTAGGATGATTACAAGTAACTCCAAGGCAGAGCTAATGGTAAGTTTGTACTGTATGTGCGGTGGCACTCCCGTTTATTCTATGAAACGTTTTTAAATGTTGACGTAGTTAGGTATTTTATCACATCCATTTAGAAGTACAATCAAAATAGTAATATTATCTCTTGAACCTGCAGCTAATGCGGTCTTTACCAGTTGTTCACTAATGTAGCCTGCTGCATTGTCGTAGAACGTCTGAGAGAGGAGTCTGCCTCTTGCTGTAGTGGGTGTTTCACAGCTAGACAGGTATGCTTTTATGTCCTCTTCAGACTGTGGTGATGGTTTAGAACCAACTGTCAGTACAGTCTTTACTGATTGTTGACCAGTGTAACTTGCAGCTTTGTCAGAAAATGGCTTGAAGTCCCCTTCTTCTGCCAGTTGTGCGTCTGAATCACAATTAGAAGGGTATTCTTTTGTGTCGTCTTCAGGCTCTTTTGTGTCTTTAGACTCTATTAACAGTGCATTCTTCAACAGTTTTTCAGCAGTGTGACTTGGGTCTCTTGCGCAGAAAGTGTCCAAGTCTGTGTCTTCTTGCCCTGCAGTCTGTGAGTGTGGCTGAAAACTGTTACATAGATGCACTTTTTGGTCCTCAGACTGTTTCAGTTCTTCAGAGCTGCCTTGTGTGCTAGACTCAGAGTGTGTTACCTGTCTGTTCTGTGAATGTGTTTCCTTGTCACTGAGAGGACATGGTTCTGTATCAGCTTGAGTTTTGTGGTCGTCAGTGTCTTTAAAAGCTCCATCTTCACTGTGCAGAGAGCTCCTCCTAGAACATCTTGGCTCGTTTTGTGTCAGGTTGCCTTTTGAATCAGCAAGAAAAATATCTGTGTTAGGATACAGTATCTCTGCTCCATCTGGCAGATCATTAATAGCCTTTGAGTCATTTAAATGGTCTTCAGAAAGAGGCACCAAATATTGACATTTATGCAGAGAAGTCACATTTTGTTGAATACATCCATACATTCTCAAATAGTGAGTGAATGTTGTTAGTGTTAATGCAAGTACCTCACTGTAATCCAAAACCTCCCAAAGTCCATTGGAAGCTAAAATAAGAAATTGACAAGAATCATCGATGGGGACAGATATGGTATGAGGTACAGGTATAACAGATTTTTTCAGTACTGGATCTCCATGATGTCCAAGACCCCTTGTGGTTCTCAGATGCCCTTCTACTAATCCATCGGGTTCGTTAGTGCTGATGTTTCCACCGTTCTGTAGTATGCGTTTTCTCTCACTTGCATTAGAAGTGCTGTGCTCTTTTGAGAGGCAATACCCTTTTCCATTTTTACATAAGACTGCATGTACATTACCTAAAATAAGAGAATATTTTATAGCAGACTGATTTTTGTAGATATTGCTGTTACATCAGTAATTAGGCTTTTGCTAAGGACTATAGAAAACTGAGGTCATAGTTGAATTTTCTGCAATTACAGGTAACCATACTTCCATCAGTGCATCCCTTTCCATTTTACAAGGTTTTCTGTGTTTTTTTTCTTTTTTCTTCCATTATTCAGAAGGCTATTCTAGAAAGTCTGTCTTCTGGCTGCGGCTAAACTTTTATGACAAATCTAAGTGACATTTCACAGACCGTCAAGTGCAGTCTGACAGAAATGTTGCACCTTGACTGGTTTTTAAGCAAGAGTGTGTATAGATGATGTCAAGTAATCTTTTCTCAAATACTCCTTTCTTGAAGGAGTGTGTGCTTTTGAAATGTTACTGCTGAATTGACCCATCAAAACATTTGAGATTCAGGATATAAAATGTCCTAGTACCTGAAAAATGATTTGGACATCATTTAGGGTTTACAGTTTATTAACATGAAGCCTTAAATCTCTTCTTCAGGTTAACATGCCAAGGGAGCAAGAGTTCTTGCAGTACCCGTCGTCAAGGACTAATTTCCTCTCTTTAATAGGAGTAGGTACTTTGCCTTTTCCTCAACGCTCTTGAAATCCACAGTGTGAGAGTGAAAAGTGGTTGAAACCAAAACATTGCAGGTGACTGATCATGTCAATCAGACTTGGACACAGGGCATAAATGAAAGCACCTCTAAAAAGAAGGGATGCAGTGTTTGCAATCCTGATGGCTAACCTGGAAGGAGATAGTTTCTGTATTGGGGAGAGTACTGATCTATTCCCTTGTTTTGGCATAAGTGTGAAAGTGACGTATTACAGAAAGAACCCAAGTGGGATAGTAGCTTTCCAGATGCTAGGTTGGCCACAGTTTGATCTTTTATGCTATATTTTTAATATTTTCTGGCTACAGTAGAGCACAGATCTACTTGGAAAGGGTTTATGGGTAAGCACTGCTTACATAGCAGTTGTATTTCCTGGGAAATACTGTCATTGTCCAGTTTCAGAGGCAGCTCCATATGTAGCTTGTGTGAAGGCAGATTCCTCTAGAAAGTAACTCAGAATGTCGAACTGAAGAACACAGCTCTTTTTATTGATTATAGAATGTGGATACCTTAATTTATATATACTTCCTTACTGCTTTCCTCTCCACCTTTCTCTGATTTCCATGGAGAGTTGGAAAGATGTCTAAAATTTCTTTTGATTCCTAAGAGTAGGACTCCAAGCTGGAAGCCTAGCAAAGTGTATAATATAATCCATGTGAAATAATGTGGCTGCAAGAAAGAACAAAATCTAGCTCACTTTTGGCTGCAAGTGTCTCTGTCTACAACCAGAAACTTAGAGCAAGAGAGTCAGCAAAAACTAGCTGAATGTGGGAGGAAATGAAGAAGGCAAAGCTGGAAAATACCACTGTCTCCTGCTCCACTTTCTGACCATCCTCTTTAGTTCTTCACCTGGTGCTGAAGAAGTATGTCTAAAGTTCTGTAAGAACTGAAGAATTTTTCCTAAGGGAAAAATGAAGTTTGATCTTGTGCAAATCTTGTTTCTTCAATTTGATATATTTCATTTAAAAAAAAATTAGAGTATTATTTTAAATAAATATGTTGTGAGACGTGGTTAAAAGATGTAGCCTTTAATCAAACAAGGCTTAAACTAGCTCTGATCAACTTCAAGCCTTATCACATTAACAAAGTTTGAGTTTACAGTATCTTTCATTGAAGCCAGCATAAAACTTCACGTTGAATGAAAGGAAAGGATGTGGGCAGGTACTAGAAGCAGAAAACTTAGGTCGGATGAACTCTCTACCAAGTTTTGTTGCCTGCGTCTTGCATACCAAGACTATTGTAATAAAAAGGATCTATTCCCCTAATAAAGTGGAAACAGATGAATTTGTTAGCTCTGAAAACATTAGAATCCCTATTGCGAGTTACTCCATATTCCATTGAAAATGTGACTGCAGCTCCTGCAAGAATCTGAGCTAGCACTGAACTACCAGTTTTGATACCCGTCACAGCAAAATTTAGTTTCCCAGAGTGAAATGTGTTCTGACTCTTAAGTATATTGTTATGCATCTTTGCATGCTTTGGGGTCCCTGAACCACAGTCACAGACTGCTGACAAAAGTTGGATTGTGTGCAGGTTAGTTTCTCAAGGTTTAGTGCAGTTTGTAGTTCCTTGATGAATATCTAAGTTCAGTAGGGGTGAAAGGTTAGATGTGACTGTAGTTTGCTTTGTAGTATGGTCTAGCAGGCTTTTCCTAGAGTACACGTACTACTTCTGAAGAAGGGAGACATCTGTGTGGCTTGGTTCATGCAATTAGGTGCTTTTAATTATTGGTTTACCAGGCCTTGAAACTTAGTCTGTCGAACCTATGCAAGGGCTGTTGTCAGAAGTCCTCTTTCTACTTCCCTTTGCTGCTCACCCTGCCTTTCCCTTGTGGCAGTACGATGTTTGTGCTGCTGTGTGGCTAACCAGATTGGGGAACAGAAGTGGCTAAAATAATGGGGTTTTGGTTTTGACAGGTTAATTTTCAGCTGGATCCATTGCTTGGCCTGATTCATCAGGTAGCTACAAAAATGCATGTTGCCAGCATAAGGTAGAGGCAGTATGGATATGGCAACAAGTGTTAGAAGAATGGAGGAAAGGAAAGGATTATAGACCGGTTATTTATTTCAGTGATAGTTCGTGTTGGTTTATAACCTTCCTCAAACTCGCAGAGGTTTACCTGTCATTACTGTGCAAAAATATATTTATATGATTCTGCTTGTGCGCTCCTTTATAGGAAAGCAATTGCCTTACTTATAATCTTAAAACTATCTTAGGTACACAAGAGAATTTAACTGATAACAAAAATCGTTGTAGGTAAACATGACTAGAGCTGCAAAGAACTGCAACAGCTTTGTCCAGCGTGCTGCCTGCAGCAGGGCTGAGAGGAAAAGCATTGGGAATGTCTTAGTATTTTTCTTTGCAATTAATAACAGATTTTCCCCACTATAAAAAGACAAAGCAGAATTCTTCTTCACAAGAAACAGGGCTGAATAGGGCTTCTGTAACAACAGTAAATAACAGCCAATTGCTATTTCATTAATTGATAATTCCAATAATCCCCGTAGACAATATTTTCAGTTTGCTGGTAGCAGATTATGATGGCACTTAGTCTCAAGGAAATACATGAGTCAAAGAAGAAAAGAATATCTTAAATGTTTCATGGACACAAGGGATTTATCAGGTCTAAACCCAAAAAGATTTATGATTACCTGCCTTAAGATGATGACATCTTAAGACTCCCTCTTTGAAAATATTTTCTTTACTGCACATTTACACAGGTCGCTTCTGTATTACTGAATGTTTCTTAATTGCATCTTTCAAGTAAGTAAATTGACTTTACTGCTCTAACTCAAACATTACATTGAGGGTTCTTATCTAATAAGCTTGATTCTTGTTGCCTGATACCAGCATCAACTGCAAGGGATTTTATCACGTCTCCTTCACATTGTCAAATTAAAACAATTGCAGCCTTTTATCTCCAAATATCTTCTGCCAGCAAATCTCTAAATTAGCTTATTTTTCCTTTTTTTATTGGGCAGAGGAAAAGAAACAAAAAAATTCTAGCCTAAGATGTACATACCAATATTAGCAATGTGCAGTAACCCAGCAGCACTTTTGGATGTTCTGGCTAATGGACTATGCCTGTGGTTTTCAAAGTAATTTATTTCTTCCTCCTTAGTGCTGTCTGTCTTTTCGTTGTGAATTCTCTCCACCAAACAGGTAACAGTTGAACAGCCGCTCCAGCGGACTTTGGAAGTCTCATTCCTTCCTAGTTGTAAAAGTCTATCCATTCTCCAGAAGGACTTGGCATATGCTTTGTGAATCCATTTGTAAGTATTTGTCTTGTTAGTCTTGTCATTCTCCTGTTTATCAGAGAAAATCCTCTCTTTTTCCCTATAATCTGCTGTGATTACTGGGGCAAAAGAATCTAGAATTTGCTGTTCATCCTTACTCTTCCTATAGGAGGAATCTGTTTGAGCAAGTTGGTCAAGAAATAAAAGTGGAAGCTCTGCTGAAACTGCTTCTGCAGCTGTCACACCACAATAGCCATCAACTAATCCCAGAAAACATGTGTCTGACCTACTTCCATAATTATCCAGCACGATATATCTGTCTTCCATGTCTCCTTGCCAGCTGGAATTTTTATCTTGGCAGATTGATAATGCTTTTATTAAGGAATTTTTTACTTTCTTAAGAGTGCTAGAATTGTTAAAGTTATCAAGATCACAACATGATGTGTAAGTCTGTTTATCCATAAGGAATTCAAATGAATAATCAATCTTCTGCCTGTCTCTCTCAGAATATTTAGGAAGCTTGGTCAGTTTTGAAATCAGCTTCTGTCTCTGAGCTAAAAGTGTTTGCTTGTCTGTCTGTGGGCTACTGCAGCCCAGGAAACTTAGGGCTTTGTGCTCTTTTTTATGATAAAAAAGATGATGTGGGTATATTGTTTGTTGACATACTGAACAGAAAATTGAAATGCCCTTGGTATCTACGTTCTTGGGTACAATCTTGACCTTCTCCAGATGATCCTGCTCATCTCTAGAAAGTTCAAATTCGGATGTTTTTGCTTTATCTTCTGATTTTCCTCCCATATCAGTCTATAAAGGAGTTGAATATGTTATGAATTTTTACATTAATATTGGATAATACTACATTTACCCAAACCTTGTTCTCATTCTCTAAATTACATTACCATGTAATAATACATACATGATGAAGAAACTGGGAAATCCATGTGAGATTATATAAAAATTGTAAATAAGAAATATGTTAAAAACTAGTAATACAGCAAACTTACAAATAGAAAAGTTTAGGAATACAGAATTTGTAACACAGCTTAGATGATTCTTGTACCTAATGAGGTCTCAGTCACTTCTTTGTTTCTTTGATGTGATTCAACAGATAGCCCTGTGCCTTCACACTATTAAAACTTGCCTTATAAGGTAGTTACTCATCAGCTTTTCTGTATGATATTCATCATTTCCTGGACATGGTAGTGGAGTGTAGTTCTTTTCTTTTTCCCTTTTTTTTAAAGGGGGGCATATTTTGAGATTAAGATTTTAAAAAAGGCCAATTTTGCATGTGAAATGTGAAACAGGGCCAGAAGCACTGCTATATGTATCACTCTAATTATCTACTTAAAGTCTCTCTCTCGTTACCATTAGTTGTAGTTGTGAGGACATTAGGCATCAAATGGAAAAATTAATTTTTTTAATTAAATTTTTTTAATCATTGTATGTAGATGCACAGAAGATGTACATGAGCAAAGTTATTTCTCTTGCTTTTGAGAGCTGGACTTTGCAAAGTTAACATTCTTTTAATGTAGAATGGACTTCATATGTGTCCCTTTCTAAATTAAAAAAGCATAACGAATATCAAAAATATTATAAAATGGACCAAGCAGGGTTGGAGCATTTAGATCTGTGGGAAATACCTCTGCTCCTTGAACTAAGAGAACAACTGCAAATAGCAGCCATATGCATAATAGCAACCTTATGGTTGGTTCTCCAACTTCAGAAACAAGTCTCCATTTCCTCTTCAGCCCAGTTTCAATCTTTCTTTCTGACTTCATCCCGGACACTTGGGCCCAGCTTCCCTGCCAAACCGGTTGCTACCTTACCTGCTTACATACTGGGACTCTGCACTCCAGCATGTCCATTCTCTTGGACATCTAGTTCCAAATATCACTCCTTCTGCTAGTGGTGGGATATATGCATATAAAGACACCTCCAGTCTTCTCCCATTTTTAGCAAAGGGAGACTCAGAGCTAGGACAAAATATTTACCTTGTTCTTAGGTTCGGTACCTGGTGCTACAAATTCACAGAGAGTCAAACTTGCAGAAAAAGTCCCAATAAGACACTGTTAGAGAACGGCCCATGCAGGTGGAATTGTGCAAATTTAGCAACTGGATACTAACATGCCTCCTTGTGCAAAATTATATATATTTTTAAGCTTATAGCTTGCTCTGTTTTGGGTAAATTTACAAGAATGACAAAAGGTATGCCACTGTCACCGTCTTAGCCAAATTTCAAGCCCCCAATTAAAAATTTGACAGTCCTAGAGCTTCTCTATAAGATAGTTGTTATAATTTTGTTTTATTGCATGCAAAACAACATATTTTCCTAATCATATTCTCAGAAGCAGCTGAACTATATTACCTGGAACTTTCTGAAATGAATTCTGCTTCGAGCTTGGAAAGTTTCAGCATGAACAGTTAATATCTGGCAGAGTTTTAAATTACCAAAAACATCAGGCAACCCTATTTGTAGGCAGCCCTAATGATTCTGCCTAAGAAACACGTACATAACATACAGAGGAAATAACAACGCTGTTTAAGCAGCAGATAGATAGCAGACATTTGAATGGCTGCTGTGTGTGTTGTAATGTGATATACAGTGCAGCCTTACTGCTCCATGCATACCATCCTCTCTCACCAGGTTAGCTCATAAAATATGTACATACACAGATGCCATGATTTCATAAGAAATCTTGATATAGTGTGGAAAGCTCTGCTTGCTACCCTATCCATCATCTATCTGCTAACTATGCAAACATAATGTATAATACTTATCTGTATATGGATGGGAAATATTAGATAAAACATTTGCTATGTTTTTTATTGTAATCTCTCTTCAGACATTTCTGCTTTTCAGTTAATCTTTGTAATACTGTAGTAAGAAATCCACCACCAGAGCTAAGAGCAGTGGTTTAGCAACAGTATTATCCCACTGCCAAGTTACAGCAGCATCCTTTGATAAATTCATCCAGCTTCAATCTTATTTATTTTCTGAGGCTGTCTCTTTACAGTTGATATAGCCACACACCTCAAAGTAACTGTTTTGCACTTGTTGCCCCTTCCAGGAGTTTGGCTGGTAAGCACATTTTCTTCTAACTACTTATAATGCTCCTCTGGGTTATAAACACTTCCATGATTTGTTTTTCAAAGCATACACTTTTTTTTCCTTTGATAGTAGTTTAACAGAATTCCTTTAACTGTTTTATAATTACAGGAGAATTAAAAGACAAACCCCCAAACTCCTCCAGCTCCATAACTCTAACAGTCTTAAAGAATCAAGCACATTTGATCCATTGAGGTGGATCAATTATATATTTTTAAAAAGAAAATCTCTTCTGTAGAGAGCTATATCTACAGAAGTATTATCTTAATTAGCCACTGAAACCCTTTATCACAGCATAGTATACCTTGTCCTTACTGTGGCTAACCTGCAGGTAGCTACAGCTCTCAGAAAGTTCATCTCTCCCCATAAAGTGAGCATCAAGTTTCTCTAGAAATGCTGCTCCACTTTAGTGGGGCAAAATAAGCAGATGTGTGACCAAAAATTTAGCAGAAGATACACTTGTGCAGATCTGTCCTTTCTTTTCCTTTATTCTGTATGGTTTGAATTTGAAGCTGGGAGATTACACAAGCCTTTTCACTGCTGTCATTGTAAGACTGCATGAATGTCAAAAAAAAGTTAGGAGTAATGTATACAGAAAATTTAGCAAGCTGCTTTTCTTCAGCCTTTTAAATATGAATACTCATTTTACATTAGTGTGTATGATAGCCCCCGAGTTAGAGACAGGAAACACAAAACTGAACACAAAGTTATCTTGGCATCACTAAGCTTAATTCTTTACACTCGCATGCTTTATAGATGTTTATATCCCTAAAAGTAGGTGTAAGTGCTAACAAATCTCAAGTTCAGAGCACCAAAACCATCCTCATTTATTATAATTTGTATAAAAAGTATAATACATAATAATTCATGTAGACTAACACGATACATTCCAACTCCTGTTGCAATGATTTTGTTCATAATTCTTAAATGGGCAGCCTTGATATTACTTTTTTTTTTGTACAATATGCATACAATGTCTATATTAATAGCTGAATGCTTTGTAAATACTTTTGCTGTTAGAATGAAGAATAATGGTGAGATATTGACATCACTATACAGAAGCTAAAGCGCTCTCAGCTTTAGAGAGAAGATAAAATTCAGCTTTCTACCTCACTGCACTATCCCTGTTCCTATTTGGAGAGCCAAAACCTAGCACTGTTCCAAGCTGAAAATAGAACTAGAGAAAAAAATTAGAAGATGGGGGGACCACAGTTTGACTTTATACGCATTTTCAAGGGCAAAACTCATATTTGCTGTTTATGTCACAGAGAAAAGCCTCTTGGTTGTGTTACTACAAAAGGAAGGCTACTTTGCTCCTATGTCATTACACAAATATCCCCATGGATGCAGCTGAAGCAGGACATAAGACTGCAGGTCACTGTCTGAAGCCAGAGGCTTGTTTGGCAGAGAACGCCATCATCTCAGGAAATCTTGTGTTTCTGGGCAACCCTGTACGTCTCTGGCACTTGGAGCTGCCTGCTGGTTGTATAGCAAGCAGAGATTGTTTTCTGTGTCTGCAGTTCGGCATCACAATCTCATTTATTTAATTAAAGAAGTTGTCATTAATTAAGCTTCAAGGATCCAAAATCTGATTTGTATCCAAATAGAGTCCCATATGCTGGCGCCTCCCTCTGACACATGTCATTCCTGTCCCCACCTGGGTGTGTTGCTTTCTCACCTACCTGTGTCACACTCAGCACTTAACGTATACAATCTCTGTTCCGCCATCGGTTTGTTGATTAGTAGTATTTGCTACATCGTCGTGGTCTTAGGAAACCACGCGCTATGGAGCCAGAGCTGGGCCCTGGGAAGGTGTCTGGCTGACTGAGGGTGGCAGGGGGTTGTAGAGAAGGGCTGTGTGATGCAAAACGGAGGTCACCGTCTCCCTGAACTTGTCATCACAGTATTATCAGGTAATATAGAAATAGGCTGCGCTGTTACAACTTCTTGCTGAACAAGCACCAACTTCCTCATCCCTCTGTTTCTTTCTCAGTGCTTTACTCTTTGCCATGTCTTTCCTTGTGTCTCAGCTGGTCTGTCCTTCTCCCCCGTGCCAGTGTCACCGCCACACTGCCCAGCCTGCTCCTTCCTTCCTTTCAACTGCTGTTCCCTCCCTCCACCTGTCACAGTCTGACAGCGGCACCTCCCTCGAAAAACACTAGCAAGTGCTTCATACCTCTTCCATCCACATACAGAAATACCAGCCAGGCATCACTGCATCAGTCTTTCCCAGAGCGATGTTGGACCTGCCTGATGCCACCCTGGAGGCGGTACAAGGGGCGAGTGCGGGTGTAGTGGTTGCAGTGGTGCACTGCACACCCTATGTCACAGCCCAAGCTGGGGGTATAGAGACTGCGCTGCTGCCTGTGCAGATGCTGCCTTACCAGCAGGCCGAAGGGCACACATATTCCCCCCTTGGTCCCAATTTCACGTGGTCTCCTTTTGCCAGAGCAGCAATGGGCTACTATCCGCTGTGAAAAACCTTATGTAACCTTTTTTAAATGCATATAAGACCTCTAAAAGCTCTTTTGCTGAAAGGACAAACTCACTTAACCCAGCAGCCACGTCCTACACCTTCCACCAATCTTAGCAGGGCTGGATGTCTCAGCCTCCAAAAGCATCTGCGACGGAGTTATAGAAAAGGCAAGGATTCCAGAAACTAGATGTCTTCTCCCAAGTGAGTCAAATAAGC